ATTGTTAAAAAAATGCACATAAAGTTTGCGAAATAAATATTTTTGCCAAACGATCGCCAAATAGCAACATTGTTCAGGATTGCTCACAACCTTCTCCCAAAAATAGCGAAATAGTATCGTCACATACCACGTGATGAAGGCGGAGCCAAGTGCCAACTCCTGGTGAACGAGCTATACTGGCCGATGCATAAATAAAAATATTTCCAGAGCATATTCTACCGATCTTGTGATTACAGATTGCGTAAGGCAAATAAAAATCGATTTTATTTTTAACTTAAAAATTACAAATCCCATGAAACAAACAAAAAAACAACAAACATGTTCTCATAAATTGTTTATTCAACGCTACAGCAGAGACTGCCCGCTATCGTTCGTCAATCCTCGGAACTGCTTTCCTTTCAAAAATCCTTTATATCTATCTTTTATAGTTTTACATTAAAAACAATGCTCCCCAGAACAGAAGCTCTTTTTAGATCGCTTCTATTACCCGATTTGTCTTTCTTATTTGCTTCTTTGTACCACACCTGTCACCGCAAATAACCGAAATCAAGAGAATGTCAACAATCACATAGTAGCTTCGGTGAATGTCCGAAATATTTGTTATACCTGATTCTATATTAGTTTATTCGTTGATATTATTATATTTATTCGATATTTTAATATCTGCTGAGGATAGATTAGGAGAAACATCAGCGTTCGGAGAATGTTACGAGATTCTACTAGAAAGTGCAATATTTTGTCGCTCTCTATTAAAAACTACCACTTAACTTAAATAAAATTATTAAGACTCTATTTCTACAAAAAAAAAATTTGAAAAATAAAAAAAATTTTATTTCCACACAAAAAATTTTGTTCTATGATATCACCATAACAACCGATGATACAAATTCTAACTTATAGCTTTCATATATTCAAATAACACATAAATTAAAATCTAGCTTACAACTTACATATATTTAAATAGCAAATAAATAAAATTTAGTACATTTAACACCGGACAGTGGCACTGAACCTTAAAAAAAACATTAGTGTAGGGTAGACCTTGCACTTAGCTATACCTAGTATATATTTCGGATATTTTCCAAAGCGACTAAGTGATTGTCAACATTCACCGGTGGAAGTCAACAACCACACGTTTCTGTCATTCACAGTTACAAACCTATTTTGCTGATTTTAATCGACACTATAGAACTGTAAGTTTAAAAGAAAGGTGGTAGTTACCAGTGATTTCAGCCAACAGGTTTCGCAGTGCACATGCCAACAACAAACAGAAACTACAGGTTTCTTATAGGACTCCTAAATAACAAGAAATAAAATACAGTTATTATGGCCATAGGTAAAAAAAAGAACAGCCTTATTGTAAATTACGCACATAAATGTCTTATATAGTTGAAAGCAAAGCACGATCGTTTTCTTTTTAATATTCATTTTTTCTCACTATTAACTGCATCCAATTAGAAGGTAATATCAAATCAACATTTTCAAAAGAGTCAGAGAAGGGAAAAATGACAGGATTGCCATTTTTTTACTAACTGAATACCTGTCGTTTTATAGGGTGGGAATAAAAAATAAATCATCAAGAAATCAGTATTGAGCAACTCTGCAAAATGATGCCCAGTATTGATAGTCCAACACAAATGATAATTCTTCTTCCTTCATTTACCTCTCCTGGAGGCTTTTACATTATTAGATTACATTACATTATTAGGCTTTTACATTACATTATTAGGCTTTTACATTATTAGATTATATTACATTATTAGGCTCTTACATTATTAGATTAATCAAAACACGCTGTTAGATGTTCATCCCAATTTATAATCATAGTAGTAACTCAAAAGAACATCTTTTCGTTTTGAAAGGGGAATGCCATTAAAGAGATCTTGGAAATCAAATCACAATAGAATTAATTTTATTTTGTTTAATAAATTCTAAAATAGTTTGATTGTTAGTAATAATTTTATTTAAGCAGTCAAAGAAAATGGTGCCAGGTCTAGTTAGGCAAGGATTAAACCCACAAGTAATAATTGTTCCAAATTTTATATATATCTATCTATCTATATATATATAATATATCTTTTTTTATATATATCTTTCTTTTTTCTTAAATAAATGTCAATTTTCAAAAATCATTAAAATTGTATAGTTAAATACCAACCTTATTACTTATAAACTTCTTTAAATTGTCCAGTATATTACCTTGCGCACATCCATTTTCGGGCTAATCCATGGTAACTAACAAAGCAAACGCGCTTAAGTACTACAGTAAGAACGTGTTATAAAACAAAATCTCTCTGTTTACGCCTTTACCTCCATTTGAGATTGTGTAATCTGGCAATCTTATTACGAAAGTACTTTAAATCATTCTTGAAATCTTATACTAGGAATAAATTATAAATTTTAAAAAGAACGCATAAAGTTTTATTATTATTAAAATAAATTTCAAACATCACCGATGAGTGGCTCAAGGCAAACGCCCCACTTGCCCCACCTTTGGGGACTCTAGGACCCCTCATTTCTAATGACACTACTGTACATTTGCTCGCTATTGATACTTACTAAACACACTTGACATTTTATGTCAACAAGACTCGAACAAGGATTGTCTTCCTCCATTGATTGCTTTGAGTCTGTTGGACATGATGCCACTTCTAAACTGTAAATAAAATTTTTTAAAAATTAACAAACGAGAGACGAAAATGGATTTGAATAATGATGACGTCAGAAGATAACTTACTTATTGCAGGAGCTGCTGTCTGCTAGACCAGATTTTGTTTGATCTGCAATAGAAGAAGATATACGTCATTGACAGAAAAATGAAATTTCAATTAAAAAGTATCATTAAAGACAGATACTCACCGTCGCTTAAATGTTCCTGGAAAATATTTCTGGAGAATGATGAATTAAGGAATTATTTTTGCTTTTACAGTACTGTAATCATGTATAAAACAGTCAAATACTACAATTCCAAAGGAGAGTTGTGCAATGCAGCAGAAATTCCATAAGAAAATTGAAACCGATAGAAACTTTTAAAGAAGAAAATAACGAAAAATATAAAAATGACGAAAGAAGCTGACGTCGTCAGGGGTTACAGTCATCCGGAAGTCATAAGAACACAAAACCTTTTCTAACTAAAAATTGCTCTTTCTGTACCCTAAGGGTTTTATAAAAAGTCCAAGAAGAGAGAAAAAAAATAAAAAATGCAAAATCAAAATAAAATACAAAAACAAATTACACAAACTTAAAAACACCTGAATCAAGTATCGGAAAAATTTGCCATCACGGGGGACTTTTTGATGGAAATAACCCGCATTTGCATTCATTACATAAACTTTGTTTTTGTATTTTGTGTTCTTTTCTCTCCTCCTTGACTTTTTACAAAATCTTTTGGGGTACAGAGAGAGCAAATTGTAGACATTTGTCCTGCTCTCTCAATAGAAAAGACTTTGTGTTCTTATGACTTCCGGATAACTGTACCCCCTGACGACGTCAGCTTCGATTGTCATTTTTATATTTTCCTTTATTTTCATTTTTTTTTCTTCTTTAAAACTTTCTATTGGCTTACAGTATTGTAGTTACAAACAAATTAATAATTGTTTAAATTAACAAATAATAAATAATTTTACTTCTGATTTTCTCTTTACTTTATGATTTCAGTTTCAATATTCGATTATAAATGGTGAAGACTTCTTTCAGTATACCAAATTTAATTTTTTTGAACGAAATTAATTTATTTTGATCAATACTTTTCTATAAACTTTAAAATAACTATCAGTGTCTTTCCTGGGGGGCTATGGGTGGTGTGGTTTTTTATTGAATTTCAGTTTAATGTTTTGGTGTGCTTTATTGTCAAAGATCCCTAAATGTAAACATTACACATTCTCTGTATTTTATATCATAACCGTCGCTGTGCAGCCGACCCAATTTTTTGGGGTTCACGAGATTTTACGATGGAGAGGAAGACTACGAGAACCTCCCACGGTTAGCCTGACAGCAAGGGATCCGTCTACCAATGAAGATATTTCACGTCAGCACTGTGGTAGGTGCAAGCCGGATGCAAAATTCATATCGACCAGACTTCGCTGGGATTCGAACCCGGTTCATTGGAAGGTGAACGCTCTATCTCCTGAGTCATCACTGCTCTTTTGATCAATATTGTAATAATTCGTTATAAGTTGATGGAAAAATAATTGACGGAAAAATAATTGACGGATGAGGACTGTTGCATCAAAACACAAAATGTAACGCTTATATTTTGCAAATATTAAAGAGAAGTTTTTTATATCGAACGCTTCATAAAAAACATTCCAAATATATTTCACTTCCGAGACTACATCCTTCGTTGTGATATTAATATTCTTAAACATACATCTGAAGAATTTCTAAGCTCATCGTTCATTTATGTTGTGATATTAATTTTCTTAAATTTATTTAAACCTCACGACTTGCTGGGATTTATAAATTATTGAAAACTCTTATAAATGACAAAATTATGCTTAAATTTCATCACAAATGCCAATAATATAACTGATTGGAGTATTAAGCCTGTTTACACATTGCCTCGTAAGCAGCGGAGGAATACACCGGAAGTTCTTCCGCTTTTAGGAAGCAGAAACTTTTTTTTTTACGTAGAAATGTTTGCTCGGAAATTCGTTATTCATACAGCGACTAATTATTATGTTTTATTTCATTTGCGTTCCAATGAACGTAGTGGATTTTAACTGCATAGTTTTAAGTAGTTTAAGTTTTAAAAATACTTTTAAGCTTAAAATTTAAAATACGCCAGCCGAGTTCATTGCAGAACTTTTCAATGAATGAAATGGAACAACAAATCGCTTGGAAAGAAAATTCGGAGTTATAATTTTTCAGGAATAAGTAAATTCTTTTTTCTGTTTGAAAAGGAACCCTTAAATTGCACAAACAACGCTCCTTAAATAATAGAAGTCACTAAAAAGGATACTTTTCTGTTTCGGGTTTTCTTTCCGCTGATGCCAGCTGCTGAACTGTAAAAAAGTAATAAACATACGTATGGAGAAAAAAAATGAATGCATTCATATTTTAAAAATACATTAATCCTAAACTTAATCTTAAAGAGTATTGACTTAAAAGTATCAACTATTTTGAGAGTTTTTAATACACTCGGACTTCTATTTAACGAACTTCTATTTTGCGAATTTCTCTATTTAACAAATTTTTTTTCGAGGAACCCAGAACATTTAGGAAATTCCTTCGTAAAATAACTTCCAAAATTCGAAGTGAATTTTCCAGTTAACGAACTCATCTTTGAGATCTATTTTCTATATTTCCCAAAATATTTCAAAACATTTCTAACTTGTTAGCGCATTTTATGGGGGAAACGAATTTGAATTGATTTTTGAAGCCGCTTAACTTTTAGAGAAAGCGGTAAAATCCCGTTTTGTTTGCATTTCATACAGGATTTCCTACCAAAAATTAATTTACGAGAAAGCATAACAGAAATTTCTAAAGCATGGAACTATGATGTTGCAGATCGTACTATTCGTAACAGTTTTGATAAAGCTGGATTCTTAGCGCGGAGGACGAGGATGATATTTCTTTAGAGGAACTTTAAAAAATGTGGGTACAGCAGAGAGAGAACCGCGAAATTAATGATTTTCTCTCCATTGATTCTGAAGCTGCAACCACAGCAACATTAACTAAATCGGATATTTAGGGACAGTGTGAAAAATAAAAACAATACAGCAATAAATTGTGAGGAAGACGAAGACAGAAATGAAGAAATCACCAAACCTTCATGTGATAAAATCATTCGAAACAATTCGATAGTAGATAATTTACAAGATAAAAGTGCATTCATTTTAATTGTGTGTGCTGTTTACGAATTTAAAATCTGTTTTGTGTTGCTTAAGTATTTCAAAGGGTGAATTTCTATTTAACGAATTTTCCATATAAGGAACAATTTATCGGGATTCAGCGACTTCGTTAAATAGAGATTTGGCATGTACTTTATTCTACTTTCATGGAAGCATCTTTATCTTGAAGAGAATAGAAAAACATAGAAATTTTAATTGAAAAAAATTAAGATCAGTTACTAGTCGTAGCTAGGCGGTGGGGGGAGAAGCTAAAAAAAAAAATGTTCTTAGTACACGAACATTCCAACCCGCAACAGCCGAGAGAGAGAGCGGAAATTACCGCGTCGGAAAACTCCCGAAATGAATATCTCGTGAAAACGTCGTTAATTAAATCTTTCCAGAAAGTAGCCGAGAAGCTGAGGATCCCAAGTTAAGCGGTAATTTTCTCACTTTGATTTCGAGGCTAAAAGGCTGGAGTTGAGTTGCTTTCTGCGTGTTTGCTCGTTGCGACGAGGTCTCCTCTCTCTTTGAATGGCATCTTTTCCTCTCTCTCCACTCAAATAAATTCCCATAAATTACTGGTGCAAAACGGGGCAAAAGTTGCCTGCCCGGAATGGAATGCCCTTCTCTCTCTCTGATGCTCCCGTAAAGATACTCGGGGGGCAATAAATGCTGGAGTGGAAAAGGGAGGGAGGAGGGCAAGTGATATTGATGCTACGCTGATTTGTACCTTGTCACAACCGAGGATACACCAAAAAGGGGGTTACTGGGATTTTGAGAGATAGAAATTTTTGGTTCTCTTTTATTTGGGCAGCGTTTTTGAGCGCCGCCAACTTCTCTTCCAAAAAGGACAAATACAAATCTTTTTAAAATATTCGGATTATCCATTATTTTCATTGCAAAAAAAAAAAAAAAGCCTTGAAAAATGTTGATTTTATGTTAGCAAGTAAATAATAAATAAAAACTGAACTTCTATACGCATTTATAAATTATAGTGTATTTTTTTATTTTTTAATGTAATTCTTGATTAATATTTTCTTAAATTTAAATTCTATTATTTTGCGCCATTTTTTAGAATCCTTTGAATATAACAGCTTTAAGCGAAAACTGTTCTTAGTTTATTACACTTATTAACGATTTTTATGCTATATTTTCCTGTTTCTAGTCAACACTTTGGAAGCCAAAATTGAAGAGAAAAAAAATAATAATAATGTTGTTTTTTTGCTTCAATTTTAGCTTTGATTTGATGTATAAAAGTGTTGACTAGAAACAGTCAATAGTAGCATAAAAATCATTAATAATTGTAGTAAACTAAAAACAGTTTTCTCTAAAAACTGTTATATTCAAAGGACAAAACAATCGAATATTCTAAGAAATGGAGTAAAATAATATAAGTAAAAGCGCAGTTATATAAAAATAATAATAATTTAAATAATAAATAATATTTATAAATAATATAAAGTTCAATTGATTGCAAATAGCAAACAAGTAAAAAAATTAACAAAAAACATCTTAATTTTTCTTTTTATCTGCTCATTAAAGTAAAATTAAAATCAAAATTTCATAACAATGCATTGATCTTAACTCTTCACATCAAATTCAGAAAAGAAAAATCATTTGCTTAATTATTTCTAAAACAAAAAAAAACAAAAAAATACCAGAAACATTTTAGATTTAAAATAAACATTTTAAATCTTTTAAATGTTTTTTTTTTCTTGTTTTTTTTTTCTTAATATATTTCTGCTAAGAACATAAGTTAAATCTTTACTTCGAAGTAAAAATGCAGAAGTGCCCTCTCCCACGACAGAAAGTCTTCTTCAGATATCTTCGATAAAAAAAATTTTTTAATAGAGCATATTTCGTACATTTTGTCTAGTGCCTTAGAGTACATTTGTCTAGTGCCATTTGCACAGTTATCCAGTGTTATAGTACACTTTGTCTAGTTCCATCCTTGTTCCCCACAAAATCCAATTTAGTATTTAAAAAAATTCTTCCTTCCTCTTTTTTAAAAGAAAAAAAATAATTATAATTTTGTAATAAGAAACTTCATCATGCTTGTTTCGTTTTTTCGTTATGCTAAGGAAAAGAACATCTTCATTAAAATTATAAAAAGCTAATTAAATAATAATTGTTATAGAAAACTTTAAAAATTTATAAAATTTTCTTTATTCTGTAAGAAAGCCTTTTTTTCACCCTTATTTAAAAAGGAGAATGGGGCCAACTGAGTGCGAAAAAGTCGCCAAGTAAGAGTCTTGCCCTATTTAATATCGTCTGCTCGGCTTCACTTTCAGGCGAAGAAAAGAGCAATTTTTGAAAGAGAGCGAGAGAGAAAGAGCGGAGCCCCAAAAGATTCTACAGAGCGGCACAAATGTAAAACACAAATACCTTGTGTTCTTCATCGAAGTTATTTGCCCGTTTCTCTCTCTCTCTCATCATCAGTCGATTATCTCATATATTTATTGAGAATAAAAGGTATTCCGAAAATTAAAAGCTTTATTAAATTTATAATCCTTGACATATTCGAAAAGAGCATTTTTTTCTTCCTTTTTTATCTTTTTCTAATGTTCAAGTATGAAGGAACTGCATTAATACGTTAAAAATGAACTTTCAAATTTTTGCACTGTTTAAAATCTTTTGCTAAAATGTCTGTTTAAAATCTTTTGCTAAAATGTCTGTTTAAAATCTTTTGCTAAAATATGTTGATTTAAAAAGTGCCTTTATTTTATTCAACAAATTTTTCAAATTTACGAAATCGATTTAAATTGTTTTCTTAACTGATCGGTCGGGTTGCAAATTATTCTTTTATATATATAAAAAAATATATATATTCTTAAAAATTATTTTTGAAACAAACTGCAGTTTTTCTTCGATTTTTAAAGTATTACTTTTAAATTACATGGAAATGAAGCACACGAAGAATTCTTTGGGTTATGAATTATTCTATTGTAATAAAAAAGCAGCCATTTGAAAAATCAATTTCTTAAATTTTCAGAAAAATGGTATTTTTGAATAAAATAAAACACGTAATGAACTCTTTTAGCTTTAAATATTTAACTGTTTTATTTTATTTGTTTAAAATAAAGTTATAAGAGGAAATAGTTTCTCAAATTTAAAAAACTAAGTAGTGCAAATTTGGTACTATCTTATATGTTTATTCTAAATAAAAGAGAACTACCCCTTTTAAAGATCACACTTTTTTTTTAATGCATGGCTAATGTTTCTTACACTAGAGAGCACTGCAGGATTTTTACAGTTCATATTTCCGGATTATTGTATCTAGTTTATTTTTAGGCCATTTGGCTCAACGTGTTCATTATGTTGAGTGTGTTCTAACGTATGCAAGGCACATTATTTGCAATAAGAAGAAATAGCAATAAACAAATCAAAAGAAGCCAAATTAAGACATCCCAAGAAAGCGAGTTCTACCATGCCACAATTTTTAACAATATATCTATAAATTAATATTTAAATTTTTTTTTTACTTCAAACTATGAAAGTATCAAAAGGTTCTAGATAATTGTCTCAGAAAGGAAAAGGTATGTATTTAACATACAAAGAAGTTTAGGTTCTCTTTCATTTCGATTTTAAAGTAAAGCTGTATTTTAAGCAAGATTTGCATATATGCTGATACTCTTTCTGAAATTAATAGCTAAAAAATATACATCATATTCAGCATTTATAAACATTTAAATGCTTTTTTTTCTTATTCTATACAATTTGATTTATATATTTTTCAGAGCCACAGGGAAACTACAATCGGAATAAATAAGTCAAAAAATTTCCTTATATACGCAATTTTAAATCCTTTTTTCTTATATAAATTCATAAAATGTAGTGCATACGAATGATTAATAAATACAGTCCCTGGCCAAATTATTAGACGTACTACAAAATTCTAGGTAAAATCTTAATTATCAGGTTATACTATACAGCTTTATTCTTTTGACGCGGTTTGAACTTCTTTACGTTCGTCTATCAATTGGTTAAATTAGTTAGACGATAGATTATATAAATATAGAATATTTATTACATCATGTATTATATTAGTATATTATAATAATTAGAACAAATTATTCGGCGCACTATACTGTTTTAATAATTTCATGTTTTGCACAAGTTTAAAGCAATACTTTTATATTTAAACATACATGTAATGGATTTTAATTCAAGAGAGTTTTTATGTGCTTCCTATTTTTAACGTACTGCATTACAATGTTAATCAATTAATATACGAACGTAAGCAAGTGTAAACTTAGTGTAGAACGTAAAAAAGTTTCTTAATCATAATTCATAAACGTTATTGAAGTAGCTAACTCTGTATAATTTGATAAGGTACAAAAAGAAAGAGTGAAAGAGTCATATCCTAATTATTAAAGTGAAGAATCCGAATTCGTCATCACTTTCAAAAATGTGTTAACTTGATTCACTAGTCTTAGTTCGAAGCATTGTTCCAAACTTTTTGAATTAAATGTTACTGAAGGACTTGACTCTTTATATAATTTTTTTCCACGTTTGATAAGGTACAAAAATAAAAAGTATATTTATACGTAGTATCCTAATTAATAAAGGGAAGAATCCAAAGTTCGTCCCCATTTTCAAAATGTGTTAGCTAGATTCACTAGTTTCAGTTTCTTAATCATAATTCTTCTAATCATTTTCTAACCATAATACTGCTGTAGTTCGATGATAGAGAAGCGTGCTTGTTTGAAGAATTAAAATAAAAAATAAAATATAGTGAAAGCAATCCCCCCCCACCCTTCATCGTTTTCTAATGAAAGGTTAAAACTAAATGGCAGGTCATTTTGACGAAAATGCACATAGTTCAGATTTTGACAAGCAATTACCTCACAAGACTCTTTAACTGCGTATACGTCAGTCCATTCCAGCAATAAGCACGTGAGAAAAAAAAGGGGGGGGGGAGTATCGAAAGAAAGGATTTAATTAAAAGCTCCCCAGAGTGTTACATAAACTCCCCACTTGGCATCATCATGCAAAATAACACCTTTCTTCTCTCCGGGGAGAGAATAACTTCGCATTCCTCTGCAAGTCGTTAAACTTTGATACTCAAAAAATGACTCCGTTTAACAGGAATTCGGGAACGTTTTATTCTATTTTTAAACTCTCGACCAGCGAGTAAAATGATTTCGTAAAATTTAGAGTCCCCTTCTCTCTCTCTCTCTATTCTATTGCATACCTTTTTGTGCGTGTTTTTGCTTTTTTATTCTTCGACCCATGAATCGACGGTGGCGGAGAGAAACGGTTAACGAGCCGCTAAAAGGGTTGCCGGTACCCTGTAAGCTATAAGCACATTTAAATGAAAAAATGTTGTCACTTCGTATTTCATTCGGGTGCATATATCCTGATTGTAATGAAATTTTAATAACTGAAGTCCGGGATCGGGGTGTTAAAAGAAAATTAAGAAAGCCTTTTCATTTAATTATGCTTCGCTTGCTAGTTTTCTAATTAAGAATATTAATCCTTAAGTAGGGTGAAATGAAATATTTATCAAAGAAATGGGTCCTACCAAAGTAAATAAGTAAAAGGAAAGAAATACTAAAATAGATTTAAAATATGGAATTCTAACTCCGATTTCCTACTTATATGTTTTCAACTGAAATGAAGTGAAGCAAGAGAATGAAAACTATTAAAAGCATGTATAGAGATACACACAAGCAAAATAAAAGTTGTGATCGCCTTATCACTGGTCAAATGCTTTTTCTTCCTGGAATTGACTCCGTTAAACGACGCAACATTTCAAATCATGGGTTGCAAAAACTATTTCGATTGACGTGTTTGTCGTAGGATTGATTTACAAATTTTGCTTATGTACGTGTTTCAAGACGTCACAAAATACTTTTCCATCTTCAGCATTTATATTTATATTGAAATCACCGTCAAGGCAGTCATTATACGTTAATAATAAAAAGAATATAAAAATACTTTAAGTTATTATTATGTAATTATACATTAAAAATGCCTGCTAGTGAAAAGAAAAAGAAAAACAGGCAGCGGTCGCCATAGCAACGCATGCAATGACGACGCATGCGCACTGTTTACTATGACTCTTGAACACAGTTGAAAAGTGTGTGGATGCCATCAAATCCTAACCAAGACCTATTTTGTTAATGGGTAATAAATAAAACTATAATTTTGAAACTACTTTCTGTATCGATATTAGACTTGTTTTCAAAAGCGTGGTTCTGAATTATTTTGAACTATTTTTTTTCCTCCAGCAACTTAATACAGTACAAAACATTTAACAATTGTAATACGCACGCATGATCATACGTATCACTCGTTGGAGTTTGAAAGTAAGAAAAAACAGTTGCAGAATAAACAACAACAACAAAAAATTGGGTTAATAGGGGTCCCTTCTTACAGATATACACACCTTGCAGCGTGATTTCATACTTGAAATAAGGTGTTGCAAATGGCCTGAATTGTCCTGTGGCCATTTCATTCCGTCAGACTCCAACAAGTGTTACGCATGCATGCGTATTACACTTATTGAATGGTTATTTGTTTTGCATTGTATCAATGTGTATCATATTTCATTAAAATCGGGCCAGTAGTTCTAGAGACAATCGACTCAGTCTACAAATTCTCTTTAATATCTTACATCAGTGCATTAGGTGATTTAGGAGGATGGTATAGTGAAAATAGTGGTGGCATACCTGTTAATTCTAGCATGAGCATAGATTGATGCGCTGTATTCTCTTCTTGGAGATCTTCTTTCTAATATAAAATCAAAAAAATTATTTTTTGATCTTTAATTACAGTTCTTTTTATTTATATATATATATATATATATANATATATAAACACTAAAAGAGTTACCTTAATACCATACCTGTGACGAAAAAGAAAAGGAAAAAAAATCATTTATTTCCCAACTACTATATTTAGAATAATACACGGGTTAAATAATTTAAGGAAAAATCATATAGATGACCATAACTCAAAAAGTCGTTCTTGGAATTTAATGAAGCTTACTACTTATGTAAAAAATAAGTATTATTTTAAAGCCGACGTTGAACAGCTGACCCAATTTTTGGGTTTACGACTACTAATGTTCAATTCCGTAGCCTTGTCATTTTGAACCCAATCCAGAAGACGGTTAGTCTGGTGGCAAGGGGACTCAAACCCATGATCCGTCTACCACTGAGGATATTTCACGTCAGCTTAATTCTTTAAAAAAATTTCGTTTAATAAGTTTAACTTAGACTAGTTAACTTAATTTAAAAGAAAAAAAACTGCGTATTTTTTTAAAAGATAATATTAAAATAATATGAACAATAATTTAAAACAGAAGTTTTTTTTTCAATAGTTGTTGACAGCAACATTACTGAAAAGCTTAAAAAAAATAAATTTTTATTTTATAATAAATAATTCAAAGCAGGGACCATGATTTTCACAGAAAACTTCTTACCAGTCCCTACTTCCCCCCTATCAGTGTTATCAAAGTTGCATTGAACAATGATAATTTATATGAATGAAAAAAGTTTAGATCAATAGTTTTGGACAAAATTTTGGAAATAATAGACTTAATTGCAGAAAACCTTTCATAACAATTGAATTACAAGCAAATCCCACTGTAAATGTGTGGTACTTTTTAACATTTTTAAAGCAAGAATATTTCGTTTAAGAAAAAAATTACCTTTGGACTAACAAGAGGGCCAATTTTTTGGAGTTTCCAAGAATCTTCCATACACAATCTCTTTGATCTAGGACCTAATGATAGAATTCTCAGGTTAGTTTTTTATGAGCTAATTGTGGACAGAATCAATATTTCAAGTTATGGATAAACAGTCCCACCTCTATTTTACGAAGTTGCTAAATCCCAATAAAAAATTCGTTGTGTGGAAAATTCGTTAAATAGAAAATTACCATTTGAAATATTTAAGCAACACAAAACAGGTTTTAAATTAATAAACACTAGACATAATTAAAATAGCTCTTGATTCACCTTTATCTTGCAAACTAGTATCTACTATCGAATTGCTTCGAATGATTTTAACATTTTATCATATGAAGATTTGAGGATTTCTTCATCATTTCCGTTTTCAACTTCTCACAATTCATAATGAATTGTTTTTATTTTTCCAACTTTCCAAAATTTTCGATTCAGTTAATGTTTCTGTGGTTGCAACTTCAGAATCAGTAAAAAGAAAGTTATTAATCAGTACATCAATGTTAATTTCTTGACTCTTTCTTAGCAGTACCTACATTTTTTAAAAGTTCTTCTGGCTAAGAATCCAGCTTTAACAAAACTGTTGCGAATAGTACGATCTGCAACATCATAGTTCCATGCTTTAGAAATTTTTGTTATGCTTTCTCGCAAATTAATTTTTGGTAGGAAATCCTGTATGAAATGAAAAACAAAACGGGATTTTACGGGGTCTCTAAAAGTTAAGCGGCTTCGAAAATCAATTCAAATTCGTTTCCCCCATAAAATGCGCTAACAAGTTTGAAATGTTCTGAAATATTCGAAATAAAGAAAGTGAATCTCAAAGAAAAGTTCGTTAAATAGAAAATTCCCTTCGCTATTTGGAAGTTATTTTACGAAGAAATTTCCAATATGTTCTTGGTTACTCGAAAAAAAATCATCATGTAGATGATGGAATTGTGATGTTTAGCTGAATTATAAGTATTTATACAGAATAAATAAAAAGTATAAAAAATATAACTTTTCGTTATCCGTGGTGCACAATAGTTTATTTATTTATTTGTTTTGTTGGGCGACATTTTTTAATCTTTTAAATAAAAAAGTTTTTTTACTAGTTGGTGTACTAATGGATTAATAAGTTTCTGTTTAAGGACGGTTCTGAAAGTACATAATAGACTCACTGGAATTGGATACTTGCAAGTAGAGGAGAAGAATACCGCAGAAATCATTATGATTATGTCTAATCATTTGGTTGTGCATGGTGTGTTAACGATACAGATATTTAAGCTCGATTTATTATCACACTGAATTAATTTCAGTTGTATATTTGATTGGATACCTGCAAGCGACGTCACGCGAGACACGATGGCTCAGGGAATAGAGCGTTCGCCATACAATGAGGTGAACCGGGTTCGAATTCAGGCGATGGCTGGTCAATAGGAATTCGCATCTGACTTGCACTGACCACAGTTCTGACGTGAAATATCTTCAGTGATAGACGGATCATGGGTTAGAATCTCTTTGCCGTCAGACAAACCGTGGGAGGTTTCCGTGTTCTTCCTCTCCATGAAACGCAAATGCGAATTAGTTCCATCAAGAAAACCTCCAGGAAGGCAAATTTCTCCTACTACTTGATCCTTGTCTTCTGGATTGGGTTCAAAATGACAAGGCTTCCGGGTTGAACATTAGAAGTTGTAAACCTAAAAATTGGTTCCACTGTCCAATGGCGGTTATAAATATAAAATAAAAAAGCGACGTCACGCGTGCGTGTCGAACCTGATTGGGTGCTTAGTCACGGCGTACACCAATACCGCGATTTACCCATGCGTGACGTTGTTTGCAGGCATCTAATTTAAACCTTAGTCGCCATCTTGGGAGTCTAGCACTTTAACTACTGAGCTATCATTGATGAAGATGCAAATATTTTAATTATTCTTTAACGACAGGTGTTTTCATTATGTTGCATAAGGCGATATAAATTCCTACGTTAAAAGAAAGGTTTGTTTAATTTACTTTCATTACTCATAAGGATATCGGAATCTCGTATGATTTAAGATGTTTGTTGAGATTTTTCATTGTATTTCCGAATTTTAAGACTTTATTTCAAAGGGAAAAAAATATATGTAAGCAGGCAGGAAATTGCTGGTTTATTTTACTATATTAATTTTTTTTGTAACCGTCCTTGAACCCGGTTTAGCGACTACTCATGTTGAATACTTGTAATTTCGAACCCATTCCAGAAGACAAGGGAACTCCTGGATCAAGTATTGGGAGAAATTTGTCTTCGTGGTGGAATTTTTGATGGAACTAACCCGCATTTGTGTTACCTTGGGAGAAAAACCACGAAAACCTCCCATAGTTAACTCGACGGCAAGAGGACTCTAACCCATGATCCATCTACCACTGAGTATACTTTAAATGAGCACTGTGGTCGGTGGAAGTTGGTTGCGAATTCGTATCGACCAGCCATCGCTGGGATTCGGACCCGGTTCACCTCATTGGAAGGTAGACGCTCTATCCCCTGAGCCATCTCAGCTCTATGATATTAATTGACTAAAGTGCCTTAGTTTTTAATGGGTTAAAGAATTCATTCTTACCTGCCAGCCTATTTATTCTGTTCGCTCTCACTCGAAGATAAGTCTGAAATTAGAGGAATCAATTGATCTATAATAAATGTTTTCTTTTTTTTTTTTTAATATAAAAACAAACAGATATTGACATATTTATTCACAATTATTAACCACATATTCTTATTGCTATACATTTTAAAAAAAGTTCTAAAAATTATCTGCTAATCTAAGAAAGTGTCGCATTTATTTCCCACCATGTCCGTCAAAATTATTAATGAAAATATGAACCTAAAATTCAAAGAGACATTACCTCTTTTCGAAATTCTGGGCATCTCCTCTCAACATCATGATAAGACTGGTACCGAGATGAGGTCATCTGAAAAACAAAATCGGCACTTGTTATCCTAGTACTTATCGGCACTTCAGTGGTACTATCTAAATCTTTGTTGAACTCAGTACCCAAGTTAAAAATTCCTGACGGTCTCATCAAAAATATTTTGATGGTTTATGTTGGTTTCTGTGCGATTCTTGATGGTCCAACATCATTTGATGGTCATCATCCTCCAACATTTTTCCATTATGTGTTCATGGTTTTTGATATGACCACAAACTTCTGTCATTCCAGGATAAAAGTTTATGATGGTTAATCATCAAGAAAAGCTTGATTCTCATGGATAAATAATCCATGATGGTTCCATCTATAATTCCATGATGGTTAAATGGGAATTCTTGTTGGTTTTCAAGAATATTACCATCATAAATCAGCTCGAATTCCTACATTGGAATAATGGTTGTGCATGATCGTTCAAACATTTGATTTAACATACTAAGATGGAAAATCGCGACGATCCATAATGGTTAAATAATGCATTTTTATGATGGTTAAATAATAATTCTTGTTCATTCAGCAGGAAAATACCATCAAAACAATTTTTTATTTAGGTTGGCCCATCATAAATCTGTCCAAATTTCTACATTGGGATGATGGTTATTCATGATAGTTCCAACATTTGATTTCTTAGACACTACGAGGGAAATTCGTGATGGTTCAACATGGACATGCCATCAAAACAAGTTGTCATTTGTATGTTGAACAATCATAAATCAGTCCGAATTCCTTCATTGGGAAGATGGTTATTCCTGTTGGTTACCATCAGAAAATATAATGATTCATGACGGAATTATTGATGTTTACCATCAAGATTATGTTGTTCCATCAATGGAAAACCATCAGAAATTTTGACTTGGGTATAAGATCAATAGAACGGTGTGCTCATAACTTGGAATTTACAGTCAAAATGCTAATATTAAAGATACAAAAAACTATTGGCGAGTTAAAAACTACTGAGGTGAAAGATGTCATGGCTGTCTCTAGCTCTAACGAAGAGAAGCAGCTCGAGGTGGCAAAAAGTAGTTGAAAGTTATTTGCAGGAATATTTAGCCTCAATCGATGTTCATAAGTTTTGCTGGTGCAACGTTTTGTGCACGAACTGACCTCTTAATTATAACTAATGAATGTTCGATGGTATTCCAGTTTTCGTCCTCATTTCAGAAGAGAAAAAAATCCCTGACTTTTCTTGGTGTATCGGGTAAATTCCAAACCATATATTTTATCTATTCCATGCAATTTTTCACCAGAAAAATTTATTTTTATTTTATCTGTAATGTCAAATATTAGATTTTGCGAGCAAAAAAAAAAAAACAAAATACATAATAGAATGATAATGGAAACATGAAAAAGTTTCAGTAAAAAAGTGGGATTTTAAAAAATAATTGTAATAGATGTTAAAATTATTTAACTCGAACCTCGATAACTATTTACTGTTACTGACAATTACTGTTACTGTTACGGACTGATTATTTTCCAGGTATAATATAGGAACTTTCCAGTAGTTTTGTAAAAAATTGCTAACTTTTCCTGCTTTTTAGAGTTAAGTTAAGCCTCCATTCCTTAAATGGATTCAATTTTTTATAAAAACAATCCACAACATTGAACTTACTTACAAAAAGAAAAAAATTAACTTATTGAAGAAAATTTAAATCCAAATTTTTAAACAATTGATTTTCTTACCAATTCTTCGTCTCCGTTCAACCATTCTTTTCTTCTGTAAAAAAGAAAGCCTTTGTGAGTGAGAATATTATGGAATTCAAAAAATAAGTAAATAAATAAGCAAATTATATATAAGCTCATGTTAAGAGCCTGAGTTCGCTTGGGCACAAGTTATTCTTTATTGCATTTTACAATCTTTGATCCAAAATATTTAAATAGGCCACTAAAATCGTGCTTGAAATCTCGTGCTGAGGTATTGTGTTTGGATGTTTGTAAAAAAAAGATTTAAAAAAAAGAAATAAATAAGAAATTGAAATAAAAAACGAAATATAAATGAAAATAACCAGTGCTGTTGGAATAAAGAAACATGGCCATTGAATATGGAATCGGTGCCGTGTGGCAAACTGCGAGTGATTTTCATGGCTTTCCCCTGCGTGTAACCAAAATGTGTTGCAGTGCACTCAAATATTTCGTAACAAATGTAAACAGATCCTAGCCTTTAAAAGAAGTGTTAATTCTTTTAAATTCTATTTTAGAAACATTTAAATTTATAGAAAGGACAAAAAAAAAATGGGTGTTTAAACACCTAAAATCCTCAACGTGGATAAACTGTATATTGACTGAGTTTCACAGGAAATGTTATACTTATAAGTGTTATACATGTTGGGCGTATCCATTTTAGGCTAATCTTTGATAACGAACAAATCAAACTCGCTTCAGTACTACTGTCAGAACAAGCTATAAAACAATATCCCTCTATTACTTCAATTTGAGCTTCTGTTTTCACATTTTGTAATCTGACAATCTTATTACGAAAATATTTTGAATCATTCTTGAAAGTTTCCGCACATAACTTCATTTGAATTCTCTACTCGCTTTATGTTTTGTTCTGTTTTTTCTTTGCATTTTCTTTTCTTTTTTTACGTCGCATTTATTACTTAATGTGTTCTATTTTGTTTAAAGCAATTTGTTTTTTTTTTTAGTGCTTCTCACACTATTGTATATTTTGCTTTGGCTACATTGATACAATAACAGAAAGCACTCCTTTTTGCTGATATACTCGTGTGAGCTGATGAAGTGATTATATCTTTTCTTTAGGGGGGTGATTATATAGGAAGTGATTATATCTTTTCTTTTATCTTTTCTTTTTTTTCTTATAATTTTTTTAAATAAGTTTCTTCTCTTTTTTCATTATTCTGTTACTTTTTCCNAAAAAAAAAAAAAAAAAAAAAAAAAAAAAAAAAAAAAAAAAAAAAAAAAAAACAGAATATGAAATGTTATATATAACGTTTGATTACATTCAAGCCGTTGAACCCAAATTTGATGTAATTAAATAATTAATAGGAAGCAATTAGATATTCTAAAAAGTTATTTTAAATATAAAGTTTAATTTGAAATTGGCTTAAAGGAAATTGTAACACTCTATTTTTAATTGTGAAAACAGTCACATAAGGTGCATACTAAATATTATTCTCATAAATAATTTTTCCATTCATAGCTTCCTCCTTTAGAATGAGAAATTACTCACGTGACGAGATCGTTCAGTTTGTCCAACTCCATTAGATAGTGGTCACTTAAGTCTTGTAAAGGAATGGTACGTCCACATATCGGACATATGGGAGGTTGACTTGAATCACAATTCCACCTTGGAATCACTGAAATAATTAAATTATATTTTATTTCTAAAGGCGGAGAAAAAAATGAATTAAATATCATAGCTGCCAGTATGGATAGGAAAAAATCCAGTAGATTTCATGAAATAATATAAATTTCATGATAATTCTTGCATAATATACTATACGCATTGGGAAGTTTAGGGATTTTTACAGTCATCAAAATAGAAAAACTGCAATAATTTCAAGTCTTGATTGACATTAAACATACTTGAAATGTTATGTATTACGTTTACTCATTATTTCGCTTATTAATAGGCATTTAATTCATCCAAGATAGTTAAATGATTTTTTTAATTAACTTAAAAAAGATAGTTCTAAATAAAAATAAACGAAACATTTTTGAACAAAAAGAGTTTTAAACTGATTTCAATAAATGAGGTAGGCTTCATTATGTATTAGTAATACTTATTTAAATAATCAAGCAATAATCAGTATAAAAGTTTTATTTCAATTGGGATTTTTTTAGAAAACTTACTCAATTTNGCAATTCATTAGATATTGCAATGAATTGAATAGAACGCCAAAATGATGTTGATCCAGTTCAGTTGATTTATTTAAAAGAATAAGGGATATGGCTGCTCAAAAAAGAGCATCTTCTTTGAAACAAAAGTCTTTGCTGGATTTCTTTTGTAATGAAAATAAAGAAAAATGTGGTTAAATCAGTAATTGACAAAAAAAATTTAAAAAGCTGAAATATGATTAAAAATATTCAAAATGAAATAAAAAGTTTAAAAAAAAATAAATAAAAATATTTAAAATTTGAAATTTTCTTTTTAAACAGAGCTATTTTAGATAGTACTGCCTGTCCTAAACCTGGAAAAAGTGTGAAGGCAAGTTAATGCATAAATAATGATCATTTAAACTAGATTTTAAACAACCTTCCAATTATCCGAACTTTTCATTATCCGAACGACGTTCGGTCCCGAGCAGTTCGGATAATCGGCGCTCTACTATATATAGATAATTTTACTTATCTAATTTAAATCGTTGGTAACTTGATTTAAAAATAAATTGAATTTATAGATGCTAAAGAGATAATTTAGCAATAACGCGAAAATTCAGTTCTTGATGCTACTTTAGTGAAGCGGCTCCCAACCTTTATACTCAAATACCCTCATGGCTCAGGGGATTCCAATGGGGTACCCTGAGATCGAATCTCAGTGATGGCTGGGCGATACGAATCCCCACCCGACTTGCACCAACCACAGTGCTGACGTGAAATATCCTCCGTGGTAGATGCATCATGGGTTTGAGTCCCCTTGCCGTCAGACTAACCCTGGGTGGTTTTCTTCTGCATCTAACACAAATGCGGGTTAGTTCCATCAAAAAGTCCCCCCCCCCGAAATGATATTTCTCCCAATACTTGATCTAGGAGTACCCTTGTCTTCTGAATCAGGTTTACAATTACAAGGCTACGGAGTTCAACATTAGTGGTCGTAAACCACTAATCTGTTCAATGACGGTTATTAAAAAAACAGAAGAAAAAAAATTTAACTACGTTGTAATAGAAATTTTTAATTTGCGAAAGTCCGCCAACCAATGGTCCAGAAATAATCTGAATTCTAAGAATGTTCGCGGGAAAAAAAATTCCAGGTCCTGTTTTTAAATCTTGAAGTGATACGAAAATCTCGGAATTCCGAGGTATACCCGAAATACCATCACCTTTAATAATAGTTGTAAATTATCTTCATCATAAAATGTTTCATAATAATGTGAAGTAATGTTACTCTAACAAAAATAAAGGACTGATTCCGCTGACAGGGGTACCCAGATAGCAAAATAAGGTTTATGTTCACTCAGCAAAAACCTTTTAATGTCAACCAAAAAAGGTTTGTTATTCGGTTTACGCAAAAAACCTTCTAACCTTAAAACAATATCTGTGATAATCTGCTCTATGTTACTCACATTACCCTCATCCAAAACCTTGGAAAAACAACCTTCTATTATAGAAAAACCTTAAATCGAGGTGGACTTAGGATTTTCAAGCGTGAAAAAATCAGTTAATAAAGCTAGTCTGAAGGTGAAAATAATCTTTAAATCCAGGTAATTATAAGGTTTCTTATCGCAAAGTCTTGTACGCTGATCTTAAAAATCCACCTTGTCATGAAATTTTACTCGACAATGCAATTTGATCCCATCGCTAGTGTGACCTAAATGTCCATTTTACATAAATGACAATATTTTTTAAAAAAGCTTTAAAAATGATTTTTAATCCTTTTAGGATTGAAAGGTTTGAAACTGCACTATTTTTGCTTTATTGAAAAAAGGTTTTCAGTTCAAACATTTTTGTGATAATAAAAAGAAAATTCCGACGCTAGGCTGCCGTACGGTTGTATGCTTTCTGGGATATTAACGATTCCAATATTTATTCAATATCCGCATATATCGAGTAAAACAAATATCATTTAAAAAAAAAAAAAACGTTTCGCTTTTTATTGCATAGATACTTTGTACGTCATTCGATTTGCATACAATCGTTCGATTGCGTTACTATCATAAAACGTTTTTGCAACCTGACCTAACCGTTTAAAATCCATACATTTTGAAGCATTTTTTTTTAAAAATATAACTTCCAGTACGTAGGCGTTTCGATTATCTGCAAGCAATGGAGGGTCTCCTATCGTTTACTCGGTCGACATTCGTAAAATAAAGGAAAAATAGGGAGAAAATAAATACGGGAGTATCTATGACATTATCAATTACTTGTGGGGAAGAAGAATCAATTACTGGAGAGGAGAGGGGGATAAAAGTTCCTCTTGTTCAACAATCTCTCTACCTTATTTATTTATTATATTGTTACAGTAGAGATGATTGAGGAATTTGAGAAGCTGTTCGGACAATAAGATTATGACCACATGCGAAGGGAGTTATGATATTGGGTGCATCCACCTTTTCCGGTCTGGTTTAAAGTGTTTCAGACTTATATGTATTGTTCTGTTATAACGACGATTCGCAGTAGCAGATTGAATTAATTGTTTCAGTGAGCATTTCAGAAAACAAGTAAAAAAAATTAAAGTCAATTCTTACTTAGGTCAACAAAGGAAAATTTTATTTTAGATACTTTTCATTAAATAATTAAAAAAATTTCTCCCATATGAAACTAAAATCAATTATTTAAATTAAATGAATGAATTAATGTTTCAAAAAAACTGTATTGATATCAGGTGTCATCCAAGTTTAAAAAAATCGTATTTGAACTTGATCGGATGCATAAAAATTATTTTATTAACGATTGAAAATTTGTACAAGATAGAGGGAGAGAATGAACTAATAGCAGGAATTGAAAAAGACCAACAGATAAAGGCCTGGTTTCTTAGGACAGGACGCCGTCAGCTGGAAATCAGCGCTAACCTCTGATTNTTTTTCCGGTTTTCCGAATCGCTACAAAAAGCCGTCTTTTTTTATTGTTAAACCCAACTAAAAAAAAAAAATTTGGAAATAATCTTAAAACGAAGTAATACACAAATGATTATTTCCAAAATGATGGTAAGATAAACATCTTTCAAAGTAGAAAGAAAAATACTAAAATCTTATGAGGAAAAAAAAAAATTTTTGTTTTGAAAATAGCGGGGAAATGTATGGAATTTCATTCCGGTTTTTTGGTTTTCCGGTTTTCTGATTTCCGGATAACGGGTTCTGTACTGTAGTATTTTCTGACGTCATTAATAACACTGAGTGTTGATTTCAATTGTAGGCTGCCCAGAAAGGAAACAAGGGGGATATTGTTGGTATATGATCAACAGAAGAAATATTCTTTTNGATAAGGCGCTAGTTCTAAGAAACCAGGCCTTGAGCTAACAAACCAGTATTTTGTTGTCGTCAGAGGGACGTTGACGTCCCGCTGACGCCCAGATAAGGCGCTTGTCCTAAGAAACCAGACCTTAAGTAGTATTTTCTGACGTCATTAATAACACTGAGTGTTGATTTCAATAGTAGGCTGCCCAGAAAGGAAACAAGGGGGATATTGTTGGTATATGATCAACAGAAGAAATATTCTTTTGTGGCAGATTTCTTAGGAATAATAGAAGAATATCCCTTTTTTACGCGGAAAAAGATACCTTGACAATTGGTCACCCATGCTTTTGCTTTATAAACATAAGGGGCTGTGGTGGCTCACGGGATAGAGTCTTCCCATGAAGTAAACCGTGTTCGAATCTTAGCGATGGCTGATTGATACAAATCTGGCTTCCACTTACCACAGTGCTGATGTAAAATGTCCTCAGTGGTAAACGGATCATGGGTTAAGGAGTCCCCTTGCTGTCAGGCTAACCGAGAGAGGTTCTCGCGGTTCACCTTTCCATGTAACTTAAACGGGGGTTAGCTCCATCCAAAAGTCCTCCACGGAGGCAAACTTTCTCCCAATAATTGATCCAGGAGTTCCCTTGTCTTCTGGATTGGGCTCAAAATGTCAAGGCTACGGAAGTGAACATGAGTTGTCGCAAAGCCACAAAAAAAATTGGACCGACTGTTCAACGACGGTTATAAAATAAATATGCTACTTAATTTGTGTTGACAATATTTTAAGTTACGAAATCAGACTCAAAAACTTACTTTCTCTGGGAAACTGATTTAACACAGTATAACACTAGTTTAAGTTTTAGTGTAACCCTGATTTAAGTTTTAGCGAAACACGGTATAACACTGATTTAAGTTTTAGTATAACACTGGTTTAAGTTTTAGTGTAACTCTGATTTAAGTTTTAGCGAAATACTGTATAACACTGATTTAAGTTTAGTATAACACTGGCTTAAGTTTTAGTGTAACCCTGATTTAAGTTTTAGTGAAACACTGTATAACACTGATTTAAGTTTTAGTGTAACACTGATTTCAGCTTTAGTGTAACATTGTATAACACTGATATAAGTTTTAGTTGTCTAGTGTTTAATAAAATAAATAAAACCAAAACTAAATTCACAGCACAATTTTTTTGCCGTACTGCATTAAAAAAAAAATACTAAAGCATTCGACAGTCATGTGTT